AGACACTTGACTTTTCCCTGAGAGAAAGAGAAGGAGATGTTGGCTTCTAATTACAGATTCTCACAATCCACCAGAAACAGACGCATCTTGGGTACGTGAACAACACAAAAGTCAAATCTGATCTTTCAAGATTTATGTTAGCTGCTCAAAAACATCCCTGTTTTGAGCTTCTGTCAGGAAAGTGGAAACCCACTCCTCCCATCGAAGGAGCCTCACTTTTCAGTCTTGGCGCCTGTCAAGCACCAGCAGCTTCAGCGCTTCTTGATGCGAACATTCCAAATGCCAATATTGCTTGTTGTCACATTAGCCAATATACAATCCTCAAAATAAAATCCTCTTGATGTCTGATTACTCTTCTTAAGGACCTCATGCTGATTCATTTCAAACTGTGAATTACCTTTAATTCACAGCTTGAACAGGCTGCCAAATTTTGTTTTCTCTGCTCCCAGGTGGCTGTCCCTGATGTGGTGGGGAACATCCAAAAAAATATTAAGTCCTTAGAAAAAGTTGGCAAGCTCTGAGAGGCAGGGCCTACACAAAGCAAGAGTTGGCAGACGTCTGGGCCTGAAAACTAGAACGGCTACAACTAAGGAAAGCCGTCAAGATGACCGGGGCATCAGGAGAGTTGAGCCGGGCACACGTAAGCCTCACACTCCTCAATAGCATGTCCAAACTCCAAGTGCCAAATCACGTGTTCTGATTAAGAATTCATCCGATTAAGAAAATCACAGCCCCCTTCCCCCTGCCTCATGACACAGTTGCTTCACTACCAGAATTGTATCGAAAAGGCAGACCAAACATCTACTTATGGAAGAGTATATGAAATTGCTAGGGACGTAGGTTAGTGCTCCGCAAGAAGCCCTGGCAGTCCTCGAATTTCAAATCAGATTCTCGAAAGAAACATTTTCAATGAGAAAATTTTAGGTAGGATGGTCAGAGTTGTAATGAATGTGAGAGTTATTTTTTTGAGGGGGGGTTTAAAAAAATTCAGAATTCACCTGAGAAATAATGTAATGCTTGTTATTGGTTATAATAAACTGGAAAACATTCTACTAGTCTTTCTAGTCTCTGTGGTAAGGAACTCTTCCTACCACATAGAGTTTAGAAATCATGCTTTATTTAAAGCAATTTTACCGGGTTTGGGTATAATGTACTGTGGGCCTCCTTCCTACTAACTTCCGCTGTCCGAGTCTTCCACATTCAACATGTCAAATGGGGTGTTCCAAATCCCTGAACTCACAAGAGCCCATGAGCAAGGGCAGCGTGGTGGGAGAGAAGAGGCCTGCCTTCAGGCTTGCCTGCCAAGGAGCAGTGTAACTCGGCCCTTCTGTGCCCTCGTAGCCAAAATGTTTCCTTTTCCTCCTAACTAGCGCTACCTTCAAGGATCCATTCATGTGGCAAACATACCCATCACCCACAGGGGAACGGAGACTGACCACAACTAGTCTGTCTCTGCAAGGCCTTTCATCAAGTCTCCGGGTCCATGGCTGGGATGTTTGAAAACCTGTAGCTAATACCGTAAGTGAAAGAACTGGTTTTATGGCAAGAACAGCATTATAGCTACATCTGCCTTCATATTGGGCTTTTATGGAAACCATCCAGGCGTTCGAGACAGCATGGCTTAAAACATAGGAGCTGCTTGATTAAAAGGGGGTCTGGAGGGTTTCCAACTGGACAGGGTCCAGATGCTAACAACCAAGTATAACAAAGGCACTGGATACTTGGAGCTTCCATCTTCTCAATAGTGCTCACAAAATGAGCTGACATCAAGGACCGACTACACGGATACCCTTGAGTACATGGATGCTGTCTGATAATGCTTCTCAGGTGACTGAATGCATCTTACCTGTTCTTATTTAGGACAGCTCATAAAAGACCAACAAGGTCATGCATTTTTGTAAAGCCACTGTACTGACAAGGAATTGACAAGATGTTATAAACTAGATGAAGCAATCCAACTCGACAAAGAAAATCCAAGTTCTTTGGGTTTGGTTTCAGTTTTCTCCTCCATCAGTCCTTAATGGCTTCATTAAGAAACTAGAAAAGTAACACAATGTCTGGTGTGTACATTCAATCCCTGAATCTCATAATGGAAATAAATGGATCTTTCAGAGGCAGAACGAACATTATATTATTGTACAAATATACAACTCTAGAGCCCTGAAAAATACAATTTGGCCTTCAGATGCCCATGCCCCACCCTCTTTTGGGAGAGAGACCTTTTTGGAAGGAGGCTAGAAACTCCACTGGATTTAGAAGCCCTGGGTGAGGCCTATTCCAAGACTCACAGAGGCGGAGGGTCTTCTTTCCTCTAGAACTTACTAAGGGTTAAAGGTAAAGGCACTTTTATGTTGTTAAGTCTAATTACTGAAGAGTATAACATTTTTTTTAGAGTATAGCTGTTTACATTTGAATTCTGGAAAGTGTTTGTGTGTGTACATTTATGTGTATACACATAGCTCATTAATTTGCTTAATTTTCCCTAGGGGGCTCTATCTGTATATTTTGAAATAAAAAGTTCCCCATGATTTACACTCGTATTCTCTGAATTCTAGGTCAGTGTTTTCCCTCCAGTACTGTAACTACCATGGAAGATAGATGCAAACTCAGGTCTTGGAACTCCTCCAGTCTAATGCTCTTGCCTCACAGGCAGTGAGAGTTCTAGACAGAGCGGGTAGGATGCCACCACGTGGATGGACATCCCAGAAAAAGTGAAATCTACTGAGCGAGGCAAGACCTGGTTCTCCAAAAGCCAGTCAGACTGCTGGGGTCAGGCCCAGAGAGAGCGTGGCTGTCAAGAACACAGAGGGAGCCTGGCTGGTTCCCAGTTTGGATTCGGACACACTTGGATCAGTTTTTGAACCTGCTGCCCGTGCGTGCAGTCCTTACAAACAATCCAGGCCCAAATGGAAGATCTGCATTTCATCAACTGGGGAAGAGAAGCCAAGATGAGGAAAACTAATAAAGTATCCCAGTAATTAAGGAATGCTTTGCAAGACTCTCATCTCTCTCCCTGCAGTAAGTGGCGGGAGCATGTCCAGGACATTTGCAGGCCTTGGGAACGTGTCTCTCCTGCAGCAGGGGCAACTTTGGGGTTGTTTCCCACCAAACTGGAGCCACCAGCGGGCTGTCTACACACAGAAAGTTCTTAGTTGCCTGGAGGATTATACTGTCACATGGAAAATCCTAGAAGCTGGCTTGAAAAGCACACGGCAGGAAAATAGGGGAGAGTGATAGTAATGGCAAAGCGGATAATAATTTGGAAGCTAAAAATAAAAATAATTATTATAAGTCTTTCTGTCCTGTCTTAAACCCACACCCTACCATAAAGAAGGGAACTTATTCCAGCTCAAGTCTGATGGACAATGATTGGTCTTTAGATCCAGCAGCTAAAAAGAAAGCAGCTCATTCATAAAATGGACTCAGTGTCTTCTAGTTTTATCGACCCTTCCCATAGAGAACCTTAGTCCTACTGAATTACACAATATTCCAGTGTGCTATAAAGGGCTATTTTCTGGAAATCAGCCTCTAACTATAAATCACAATTGACGAGTTTATTTCTGTTAGTTACAAACTATTGAAATATTGAATTTTATGGTCTATATGGAAATCAGCATATTTCACAGCAGGAGCCTAATACTCTTGCTTTAGGAGTAAGATCATTTTCCAGTGGGAAAAATACTTTTATATTTTTTCAAGTCTGGAAACCTGTGTTGATTTCCTAAATGCTCAAGTGTGTGCATGAGTTCTATTGACATTTTAATGGGAGAAGGGCAAAGTACGAGAATAAGATCTATTGTTTACTAGAATCACAAGGGGAAGGGCAATTCAAGATGCAATGAATGGAAAAGCTGAAATGAACAATACCAAAGACGATTTTGATTTCCATGTTTCCACATAATTTGGTCCTTAATTCAGGGTTATGGTTTTATTTCCCCCCTTTCTTATTTTTTTCTCACCTCTTTAAATGAGAGTTCTTGGTTGCTGAAATTGAACTTTGAATGTGAAGGCACAGATCAGGCCAGAAAACCAAACAAGAGGACTGACGATGCGGTCAGGGCTCTGGGGGCTTTGCTCTTCAGCAGAACCAGGAACATGGAAATGCCATTGTCTTTCTCAGAGCCATGGTCTATTTGGGAGTCATTCCCAGTTGTTTTATGCAATTATTCGTGATCTTCCAAAAGGTGAGCAATTCACTTCAAGTGTGCCGTTAGACCACTTGAATGTCATAAATTATTTCATTTTGAAAATTTTCAAGTATGTGACTATTACTCACATAGAAAAGTCGACTTTCATTTTCCATTATTAGGAATGGAAGAAGTTGTGAGAGAAATACTCCCTTGATACATTCTTGGGCAAATGGATATTACAAAATCTACAGTAGTTAATCTGAGGAAATTGGTTTCTCCGTACCCCTCCTTCAGTTAGCATTAATAACAAATGAAGACAGTGCCGAGAGAATCGCGGGGCCCTGGCTTCTGAATTTGAACCCAATGTCATGTAATCTCTTATTCCATCTCTTCCTGGCTGTCCTTGTTTGTCTTTAATATACAGTCATCAGATGACCTACAAACAGCAAGGTCTCAGGCTGACTGGTCATAACAATCCACTCAACACTTCATGTCCCATCATGGCTGCTGAGACGTGTCCTTTCTCCATCCCAGTCAGTGGTGTCTGAATATCGTGTATAATGAGGTCTGTGGCGGAAGTTACATAATGTTCAAACAACCAGTCAAGAATCACAGTTGTTTTCATATTCCAGGTATTATTAATCCAGCCTGTTTTACCTCGCTAGAGAGTCTAATGGTGACCTCATTCATTTTTACTGTTACTCGCTTATTGTGGGAAATCTCATTCTCCTCTCTAACCGAACCCCATATTATTATGAGCCAAGGTTCCTATTTTCGAGGAGCAGGAGAGAGAACAAGATTCGCTCAGCACCGAGGCATCATTTCCTTGCCAAATGCCCCTGAAGAAGCCTGCTTTGGAAACCCAAGTACTCACAACTCCAGCGATACTAACTTCGTAGAAGCTCTGCTGGTCGGGTCGCTCCACTCTGAAAAGAAAGGGCACACACAATTACAACCCACATTTTCTACTGTCAAATGATCACTCTGAATGAAATCGGTCTTCAAAGATGCAGCCCTTCCAGTTACATATATACATATATATACATATGTATATGTGTGTGTATATATATGTATACATATATATATATATATATATATTTATAGCATCCTGTCATAAATCACAGATGAAAAAGTAAAGGAACCAATCGGATGTATCACAATATGACTTTTTGCCATTGTCAATTCATGTTTTCATGATATTAGGTAGGAAAGAGAAGAAAGTAGGGGAGGAGATGACATGAATGTTTGGACTAAGAATTTTTTAAAAACACCTACTTTGTAAGGTGAATCCTGGGGTCAGGTGTTGGGATTCCTATAAGGAAGAACACACAAGAAAGACAAATATTAGTGAAATGCTACAGACGAATCAAAAGGTGTATTTGTTATTGTTGAAGACAGAGCATGCCTAGTGTTTGCCAAGAAGGAAGCCACTCTTAACAATTTCATTAAGTTGGCTTCTGTCCCTAGCTCTATTTGAAGGATAAACATTTGTGAGTCGAACCTGCCACAACATGACCATAACTTCCATTCCATCAGACTGATGAAACATGTGCAACATGGGAACAAATGACCCACACGTGTGAAATTCAAGTGTTTAATTTCTCACTTAGCTAGGCAATGATGTCTCTAAGGAAGGAAAGGGGTCCCGGTTCAAACTAACAAATGATCCTGGTTTTTGTAGAAGTGTAAACAAGACCGTAATTAATAGATGTGCTCAGTTGCTCCCTTTTATAGTAACAACTCCAATTTTCCACCCTAACCGTGACACTCGATAGCTGGATCTCATTTTCACAAGACAAGTGTTCTTAAAACTTCATTATAAATTTGGTGAAGTATGGGAAGCCATTTGAAATATGTGAGTGGAGCGCGTTATTTAAAGGGATTTCTATTTGATTTGAAAGTCACCCTGCACACGACTCATTCACTGATGTTGAGAAACACAGATTTCTGCACATGGTGCTTTCCAGGAGCATGGTGCATCTGTGTGGATCCTGACCAAACTCGCAGGCAGAAGCACTATAACAACAGACAGTGCGTGCACGGCACTGTGGGGATGGAAGAGGAGTGCTGACTGCAAGACAAGAGCTTTGAAAGGGAGACAAGGAATTCAAGGAAATACAAGAATTGGTTATGTCCACCACTGCTGTAAGTAATCTAGTCTTGAAGCCTAGTCTTGCCACCCCTATAGAAGAAAACTAGACTCCCAGTATCATTTGTCTTTAAGAGAAGTAATCAAGAACAATAACACTGTGCTTTAATGGAAAGTGAATGCTTCAATCTATTTAGCATGATTCTGTTGCCCAGGAGACTTCACTTCCAGCAAGATCACCACTCCAGAAGACTACCATAAACTCCACAAGAGATGGCAAAGGCCTCTCAACTAAAGAGCTATCACAAAGCCCATGCAGTTTGCTGCTCAAAGGCTTCTCTACCCTCACTTGATAGAGAACTGACTTTTGACGAAAAACTCTAACAAGCTTGGCCATTTGATTCCCAATCCTTAGCAAATCATAGATGGCGAGGAAGGGGAAACAGTCCTAGGGGCCACTGGGAGTCCCAGAGCCACTGGGAACGCAGAGACATGGAAACCGACAGCACACGGGGCCAAAGAAAATAAAACAGCCAAGTCAAAACTTACAAAGCACAGGAGTCTATGGCCATTTAATATAGAGGCAGGCATTCCTACCCATCTGAATAGTTCCCGAGGGCATATTTACAGCATAGTCCAATAACTAATGTCTAAGTTATCAAGAAAGACGAAAGCACATTCAGTAGAATTTTTATAAGTCGCAAAAATATTAATTACATCTCAAAATGATTCTCATTACATGATGCCTATGGAAGGATGGGCCTTTTGTTATCCAAGAATTTTGATCACCCAGAACACCTCATTTCTTTCCCAGAATGCCAATAAATGAGGGGTTTGTATGTCCTTCACTATATACCAGTATTTCTACCTGTTCTTTTTTACAAGGGACTTCATTACAATCGTATGGGGCACGTTTGGGCTCGTATACAATTAGGAATCAAATGACAAGCTCTATGGTCAAATAAACCAAATACTTGGTTAGAGAGTGACACATGCAGCCAGTCACTGTACTGGTCCCAGGAAGGTGGCCTGAAGTTTTAACCTTCAACCAAGTATTCTGGACTTTAGACCCCAACAGTCAGTTGTTCAAGGCATCGGGGCAGTGACTTATGAAATGAATTTGAGGATTGCATTATTTACAGAATTTGGGTCATTGGAGGTATGTATTCTTAATACTTTTTTTTTTTAAGTAGGCTCCACACCCAATGTGGAGCTTGAACTCACAACCCCGAGATCAAGAGCCGGATGCTCTACCGAGTGAGCTGCCCAGGTGCCCCTTAATACCATTTTAATGTTAAGCTGGGTAAGATTTTTAAAACCAGAATTCCAAACAAATGAAACACCTTTGGATATCACCCAAGTTACTGTACAAACACACCCAGCCCCGATTGGAAAGAGCCTGGTTGTGGGAAAAAATCTGCATTGTTCATGCCATAATTGTTGATGCCCATAATACAAATCTTTAAAAAAGGGCCTAACTTTGATCTGTGCGTTTCTTTCGTAGACGTGTCACGTCAGTAATTTTAGTAATAGAATACAATGATGTCAAATTGTTTTCACAAACTTAAGTGAGAGCATTTTCAGTAATTACTTTGATGATAATCCCACAATCAGACGCTCCCACACGATCTAGATTCTAGAGCAGGGGTTGGCAAACTTTTCCTGTAAGGGACCGGGTACTAAAGATTTTAAGCTGTAGTGAGAGTGGCCACAGCTAAGCCGTAAATGAATCAGTGTGGCTGGATTCCAAGAAAGCTTGAACTATAGACGCTGAAATTTCAATTTCATATCACTCATGTTATTTCATACCATTCATAGTAACTCATAATATTCGTAACTATTCATATTCTTCTTCTTTTGAAAATCCTAACCATTTAAAAACCTAAAAGCCCACAGGCTGTAGTTGCCAGCCTCTCTCTGGAGTTCGATTACCTCCACGAAGGCTTTACTGAACTGCCCCTGAGGACACAGCCCCCCCACCTCTGCTTAGCAACGTACCCCCTTCCTCGTGAGCCCTTCCATTCCCTATGAGAAAGCACAGCATTTTCAATTTGGGATGGATAAGTAAACTTCAGTAAGTTGGGAATTTTCAACTGTGTCTGTTTTTGTAAGTCTGCAGACTCACTGACTACATGGCCTGAAAAATCCATTGGGATTATATAGTGCCCGCAGGCGTGCGTGCGCAGACACACACACACACAGATAGTGCAGATGGGGAAACTGAGGCTCAGAAGAACTGGAGCAGGACCACCGAGCTAGCGATTGGCAGAGTCAGGATTAAAAGCAGCCAGGTCTGCAGCTCCCAAGGTCATTAAGACAGCACCCTTTCGGCTGCTCCAGCTCTAACATAAATGTACGAAATGAATGCTTTCTGAGAGGGTGGCGTCACCTAGGTCCGGGGCAAACACTGAGGAAAGGGGGGTCACCCAGGCCTGTGTATTAACCGTACACGGCCACGTTTTGGAAAATGGAATTGGAACCGAGGCATCTGTAAATCTGTGTGATAAACACATTGCCACAACACCTGATTCCCTGATTTATTAGTTGGGTGATTCGGAGCACATGACTTTACTCCGTGCCTCAGTTTCCTCCTCTGTGAATTAGGGAGAGTCGAATTACCAATCTCTTTGGGTTGTAATGAGGATTAAATTATTTACTAGATAGTATGTGCATAGAATGAGGCGAGGCACGTCCTGGCATTATGTTGTTGATGTACTTTTCTTTCAAACCAACATTTTGGCAGGAACCAAGTGAAACAAAAGAGTGGGTGTGTATCCTTCCTGGTTTCACCATTTCATGCCAGTTGCCTCTACCTTTATCATGCGGTCGATGGGAGCACAGATAATTGGCAGAAAATGCAAATTGTGCCTGATTCCAAATTGTGCAGTTACTACAAAAGCCTATTTAAACAACCGGTTCTATTGTATACACTTGTAAATGTCAAAATTGCAACTTGCGCAAATTATCTCCGAAATTGGAGAACACAGCTGAAAACACTGCAATTGCTGAACCAGTGTTGGATTCAACGCCTGAAAAGGCTGGATGGATCCCTTGGCTGGGATGCTAGGGAGGAGGACCCCAAGCCCAGAGTGGCCTAAGGAGGGACAGTGGGCATACAGGAAGGAATGACACACACACCGGACGCGGACAGAGAGGGTTGCTGCTCACTTACTTCTGACCCCTTTCAAAGGCGGACGGGGATCACTAAATGCAGTTTAGGCCAATGTTATTGTTAAACTCATGACCCTAGAAACTGAAGGATGACTGGGTTTCTCCTTCCACAAATAAGTCTAAACTCCTCGGCTGACATTCAAGGTCTAAATTACAGAGATGCACTCATTTGCCCGGGGTTCAGATGTCTCTCCACTTCCCATTACACAGACTCTGAACCAGCCACTTGAGACCACCCCAGTATGGATCATGCCATCATGAGCCCTCATCTCTTTGTGCCTTGGCCCATCCTGTTCTTCTGCATGGAGTGTTCTTCTCTTGGGCCCTTCTCCACCTGTCAAAGTTGTAGGCATCCTACAAATGCTGCAACCTCTCTGAGCACTTCCTCAACACTCGGGGGCTGTCAGATACTTCTCTGAACCTTCTATTCTCTATGCAGACACTTTCTGCACTGTTTTGTCATTTAGCTGATAACCCATGGAGGGCTTTTCTTCATCCCCAACTTTAAGTCTATTGTATGCCCTCAGAAAATGGTTTCTGAATAAATGGATGGATGGATGAATGGATGGTTAATTGGATGGAAGGAAGGAAGGGAGAAAGACATTACTTTTCCTTTTAAAGCATGTTATTAAAATAGCCATGGTTATTTAGGCATTTTAAAACCTGATGGTGAGAAAAAAATTCTTACTGGGAGCAGGTGAGGAAAAAAATTAAACATTTGACAACAGAACTGAAGAAGAAGTTCTATCAATATGATGTGCTGGCGTGTAAAGATCTGTGTGCTTGTGAGCAAGGACTGGAAGGTGATACGCAAAATTGAAAATTGACCCATTAGGGGGAAGAGTATAGGTTTTTTTAATTAAAAAAAATCTTGGATGTCCCTGTTACATCACCTCGTTGGTCTTAAGGGATGAGCTCTCTCTTCCGATTTATCGTTCTGGGCACAGTAACTTGGACAGGGGCAGGGCTCTAGGTAGTACAATACACAGGCCAGCAGCATCTGTGTATATATGCTCTTAAAGACTCTCCTTCGGGAGGCGCCTGGGTGCCTCAGTCAGTTAAGCGTCTGCCTTTGGCTCAGGTCCTGCTCCTGGGATCCTGGGATCAAGACCCACATTGGGTTCCCTGCTCAGCGGGGAGTCTGCTTCTCCCTCTCCCTCTGCTCATGTTCTCTCACTCTCTCACTTGCTCACTCTCTCTCTCTCAAATAAATAAATAAAATCTTAAAAAAAAAAAAAAGACTCTCCTTCAGGAAAAATGAGATTTATATTAACATTCTGAGGGGCAGGAGGAAGTATAGATTTTTTTAAAAGATTCTATTTGTTTATTTATTTTAGAAATAGAGTGTGAGCAGGGAGAGGAACAGAGGGGGAGGGAGAGGTAGGGAGGAAGAATCTCAAGCAGACTCTGCACTGAGCATGAAGCCCAACGCGGGGCTTGATCTCATGACCCTGAGATCATGACCTGAGCCGAAACCAAGAGTCGGGCGCTCAACTGAGTCAGCCACCCAGGTGCCCCGTGGGAGTCTAGATTTTATGGCACTAGAACACCAAGGCTATTTGTATTTTTAAGACTCCAATTGGAAGACTGTTACAAGATAAAGGGAAATGGAGGCAGCAAGAGAATTGACCTGTCCTGGGATGGAAAGTGTGTTCTTCTCAGAGTTCCCGGAAGTATGCATGGCAGTGAGAGGAGCAGGCCAGGAATGGGTCATCTCCTGGTGAGGAAAAACAAAGCAATTTTATTTTGGGGCATTTAGCAAATCAGACACTTTCTTGGCACTAAATTCAGTAGGACCCTTTATAAATACTTACGGACTCAGTTGGCCTTAATTGTTTTCAGGGGAACTTAAATCCATTCCCTCCGTTCCCCTGCCCCATCCTGGTGCTTGAAGCCTATCTACAACACAAGGGGCCATCCGACATCCACTCGCACAGAGCCAGGGACAGGGAGCTCACTAATGCTTGAAGCAGCCAGTCCCACGTTGAGACAGCCTGATCACACTATTGTTCCTGGTTGTGAGCTGAACGCCTGTCTCCCAGGAGCTTCTACCAATGGATCGTACTTTGGAACAGCACAGAACACATCTCATCTCCTCTTCTGCCACATGACAAGCCTTCAGCTGGTGGAAGACAGCAATCCCATCCCCTGGTGCTGCCTTTACTCTGAGACATTTGGAGCTTGTTCATTCATTCAGACACACGGCGTTCCCGTGAGTTCGAGTCTCAACGTAGGAAGGAGAAGCCCCTGAGATTCCCACTCTCCATTATCAGCAGGGGCACCTTCTCGATCCCTTCAAACCCTTGGTTTGAAAAGAGCTGCTGTTCAAATCTTGACTGAGTCTTAGGGCTCGTGGCCAACATGCTTTACCCAAAGATGAGGGGTAATTAAATCACAGGCTCAACGTCCCAGCACCAGAGATGACAAAGTTTGTGAAGCAGGAGGGGGCCAACCTATGTTGCATTCATCAGACATTCTGGTGTATAAACATTCAACATAAAAATCAATGCAATAATGGAAAAAAAAAAAAAAGGCGAGCTTTGGGGAAGAGTGGAGAGGATCAAATTTGATGAAAGGCCTTTTCTTAATGAGTCAGTTACATAATACTTTTCCCCAATCTTTATGGGTAACATAATTAGTCATTTCAAGGGTAATATTAATAAGAACTCTCAGGTAGCACTAAAACATTTTTTCCCCCCTTCTATAATTACCCAGTTCAAAAAGAGCCTTTGATGTATGAAGAGCTGTAATGCAGGGAGATACTTGACGGATTCATTCACAGCGGCAGTGCTGAAGCAGAATGTGTAAGTATGATTCAGACTAGGGCTGACACAGATTGGAGTCTACCTAGCACTATTTAAAAGGAGGCGCTAAGGACATTAAAAATGCATGCAAGATTTAGAGGGGATGCTTAACCTACTTAAGAGAGAAACTGTTTTCAAGTGTTTTTGAGTTGTGCATTTGTATGCAGTTGATAACATTTGTATGCTACTTAGGCATTCATCAAAACTGGCCCAAAGTAACTCTCTGTGACAACAGTTTGAAGCCCAATTCCAATTACTGAATGATTTCTTTTACATGTTAGGTGTTTTCTTCTTCCGAGGAAGGCTGGTCTTCTCCAAAATCTGTCCCATGTAAAACATACAGGTCCTATTTAGCCAGAGCTAACCAAGGGGCGGTAAGGCCCCAGCCTGGGATCAAGAAATGTTGTCTCTTATCAGCAACTAGGGAGTACGCCTCCATCAATGAGAGGCTTCGTCACATCCCTTTTTACCACTGGCTTTAGAGGTGTGTCTCTGGGTTTATGAAAAGGTGTTTCAGACACCTGGAAGGATGAACTCCCTCCTCAAATTTACTCTGTGGCATAATGGGATTATCTTGAATCACCATCCAAGCACACCACCCTGCTGGCCAGGCCACATAGAACTGTGACCACGTTTGCATTTTCAATTACAACTGATTCTCTGGAAACGTGAGATTTCATGAAATGGCAAGCCGATTCTGTGTTACCACCGATGCATTTGATTAAAGTAGGGAAGATGCAGTTGAAAGGAATATAATTTCCTGAAAGGCTATCTTCAGCAAGGAACGTTGGCGCAAGCTCTTTCACTTCTCAAAATGAGCTAGACCTGTAAAGTGTGGAAAGTTCACAGCAGATTTTCCATTGTCATCCTTTTCATTCACACTTGAAGGATATTAATCTATTTTTATGTTCTCGCTATTCCCAAGATAAGAACCCCCATGCACACTTATCCAACTGTACTAAGTCTGCCTAGTCTTCAGGTAGGATGAGCACCTGCTGCACAGTGTTGCCAAAGCTTTTACAACAGGCTCCAGTGCTGAGTGCCCAAGCTGAACACCAAGCGTCACCCCTCCATTAACAACAAAAACCTCACACACACACAGACATGCGCACACATGCACGCACGCACTTGCATGAGATGGGTCTGAAACTCCTTCATCTCTGGGCTCCCTCAATCCTCCCCGAGAGAGAAATAAAGCAGGGGCTCATCTTCCCATTAGGCAGTGGTAAGCGAATGCTGGTAACCAGTTCCAAAGTGCACATTCTGCTACACCAGATAGGTTGACTGTTACTGTAGAGTTGACAAACATGGTTAATGGAGAAAGGACTAAGTAAGTAATGATGTGTTATCTTTCAGCATTTGACAGAGGTAGGTTTCACAAGCAACAGAGCATTCTATGTAATCTCTAACAACGGCGTGGATGTTTATTAATGTGAGCTGAAGACTTCAAAGTCAGACCCAGAAAAATCAGAAAAGGCTGAATTTTCTTTTTCTTTTAAGATTTTATTTATGTACTTATTTATTTAGAGCATGAATGGGGGGAGGGGCAGAGGGAGAGAGAGAATCTCAAACAGATTCCATGCTGACCACAGAGCCTGATGCAGGGCTCGATCCCACGGCCCTGAGATCATGACCTGAGCTGAAACCAAGAGTTGGACACTCAACTGACTGAGCCACCCAGGCACCCCTCTTTTTCTTTTTTTTTTTAAGATTTATTTACTTACTTGAGAGGAGTGGGGTGGAGGGGGCGCTTAGGGAGAGGGAGAGAATCTCAAGCCGACTCCCGCTGAGCGTGGAGCCCGACAGGGGGCTCAAATCTTCTGACTCTTGAGATCATGACCTGAGCCAAAAATCAAGAGTTGAACGCTCAACCGACTGAGCCACCCAAGCGCCCCAGATAAGGCCCGATTTTCCACCAGTGATTGCTTCTCCACCAAATTATCCATACCATGGTTCATGGCTAGGACTCTAATGAATCCAAAACAACTTGTGGGGAGAATCACTTTGCTGGACTTGGACACACAAGCTGGGTGCACCACCGGCTGAGGAGCAGAAGAAGGTCTGGATTCCGGACTCTCTTTACACAGAGCTGTCTGGCTGGCTCTTCTTTGTAGTAACTAGGATGTTGTCCCAATCCTTGTCTTACTCAACTTTGTATCTCCAGTGCCTAGCACGTAGTAACTGGTGAATATGAGATATTATTATTAGTGTCTGAAGTTTCTGTGTTTGAATTAATAGTAATAAGAAGAATCATACCAAGATTCACCAAGTGCTTACAGTGTGCCAGGAGCTCAGTTTCTACACTCAGTCTTTGTGTGCTACAAACTAAAGAGTCAGGGTTTACCATCATGCTCCTTTGGAGACACAAAGAGGTCAAGTGACTTGTTCAAGGCCACACAACTAGTAAATGACTGGGTCTGTTTGGTGGATGCCCTGCATTTTGTTCTACTAACTTCTACCGAGTAGTCATTATGTACCAGTCACTGGGACCTAGAAAGGATGAAAAGTCAAGATCCTCCCGGAGAAGAGCTCACTCTGCTTGATGTGCTTGAGAGGGGAATGTGCAGAGGCGTGTTGGAAGGAATCCACTGTGTGAGGCTTTTGGGAAAGGCTTCATAGTGAAGGCGAGAGGAGCCGCAGGTGTGCACATACGTGTGTGTGTCTGCCTGTGTATTCCTTCCAGAGGCTAACATTTTACATGGCACATAGTAGATGTCCAAGCAGTGTATGTTTAGGTTAAACAGCATAACATAAATATTAAGGTCCTTACCTCGAAAAGTTAACTGAAGAGATGATTAATTTTTCAAATAACCATCTTAATGAATGCAATGGTGATATCTTACATATTTCATTGCTGTTGTCAGAGGCAGAAAGATCCCTCAAAGATCCCTGGACTAAGAGTAAGGAGAGCTTAACTCATGTCCCAGTTTGGTCAAAAGCTACCTGAGTGGCCCCGATCAAGTTGCTTGCCCTCTCTGAGTCTCAGTGTTCCTACCTACAGCACGTGGGCTTTGGCTGAGATGGCCTCCGGGGGCTCTCCAGCTGTCAACTCTGTTAACCTCTGCCACCACGTCCACAGACTTGCCATAGGGGACAGGGAGCTACTGCACGGGCAAGGGGTCTGGATAGCACGGTGTCGAACACGCCCAAGACTCATCGCGACGAGCCCTGGGAGCAAAGCCCGAGCATTGCCAGAATGAGCCTAGCAGACAGGCAGCTCAGGCTCTGTCCAGGGCTCCAGACGAGAGGGGCTCTGTACACCTTGCCCCTTCCCTCTGTTGAAATGCTAAGAATAAAATAGCTGCAATTTGGGGAGTACAAATTCTTGTGATTAAGAATAACAGTACAGGGGAACAGCTGAGTGGTTTTAAAACACAAATATGATTGAATAGAAGAAGTCCACAAAATCAGGTTGGAGTTTATTTTCACAGAGACTTGGACTTACGTGACCTTGGACTCCAACTTCCATTGGGGGAGGGGATAATTTTCTTCCTGTTTTTAGTTCCAGGAAGCGGAATAGGAAAGTAAATATATACACTGCGCAGTCTGACATGGCACCAGGGCCTAAGGACGCAGGAACATCAGCACCTTCCTTTTTCTCCATAACTGACGAAAACCTGAAACCAAGGAGTCCAGTCCATGGGTCCCGACTCTGCAAGTGGGTGTGTTCACTAGAGTCCAATCTGCTTCTTTAGCCAAAGGGCCCTCCCTCCTCCAGCACAAAACCCGTCGTGTGTGTGTGGGTGGGGGGTGGGAGGCTGGCAAGAACTTACCAGAAAACCCAATTTGCTTGCATAAATGATTTAGAACCTTTGTATCCACGGGCCCTGATGGTTCTCTGAAGAGCCAGAAACGGGGAGTGAGGTGGAATGAGGCATGAGGGCTGCTAGGCAGTAAGGGGCAAGGGCCCTTG